CACACGTCTACGCACGCATCCAAATGCTGACACATATTTTAGGCTCAGAGGAAGAGAGGTCGTCTCCCAAACCCCAGAGTTGCGGGTTTGATCCTTGGCCCTTGTGACCATATCAAAGAGTCTTGAGGAAGATACTGAACCCCCAGCTGCTGCTGCGTCATCAGTAAGTGAATATGACGTCAGTGTGAAGTGCTGTGAGTGCCTTAATAGGTAGAAATGCTCCTCACACAATCACACACATGTAGAAACACCAAAACGCTGTGAGTGCCTTAATAGGTAGAAATGCTCCTCACCCAATCATACACATGTAGAAACACCAAAACAAACACCAACAACAAAACTCAAACATGCACGCATACACACACATCAAGAGCCCAAATAATTCTGCTTTTTGTTTTTACCAGCAAAAACACACTCACACACACATACACATGAATGAAAAGCCTGATTGATACTGTTGTTGAATAGCCACACACGTGTAAGTCAACGGGAGATGATCTGAGCAAAAGGGGCGGGGCTAATAAAAAGATCACACATTGCCTATCGAGATAGATTTGCTGTTGCCATGGCGACTGCCTCCATGGAGGTGGGGAGTGTGTGTGTGTGTGTGTGTGTGTGTGTGTGTGTGTGTGTGTGTGTGTTCGCGCGCGAAAGAGGAAACGACACGTTCGCTGGTGAGGCCGCAGTCACATGACGACACTCAAGGGCGCCATCGCACTCAAAAGCGAATCTGAGAAGGAGGACGAGAAAAGAAAAGACAAACACGATAGAGACGATGAAGAGGAGGCTGAGGAAGACTGACGTGTCGAGCATTTTTAAGAAGGACACTTTATTGTGGTTGCGACTGGGGCGAAGGAGAGGTACGTGGCGGCCAGGCCAGGCCGAGCCTCTACTGCTGGATGCGCCTAATGGACTGGATCTGAGGTGCGTCGATAACCGCAACTCGGTGGATGCTGACGACGTTAGCTTTGTTGGTCCTTTCCAAATACAAGACCAAAAAGTGTTTCATTCCGGTAAAGACTGACTTTTACTCCTGGGACACGCTCGACATATTAGCGCTAGGAATGATTTTAATCGGCCTCGACCGATTCATCTGATATCAGCCCATTAAAAAAAAAAAAAAAAAAAAAAAAAAACAACAATCGCCGAGTATCGGCTTTCAAGGTCGCTACGTAACAGCTCCGCTTCGGTTGGACCGAACGCGAGCTGAGCGTTTCTGCTGAATGCAGTCAGCGCAGATCGGGCATGACGAGGGCCACGTGTCGCTAGAGGTGTGGCCAGTCGCGTCTGGCAGTGCGAGCCGAACTCCTTGAAGTGTTTGTACTCGCCGCAGTGGCGGTCGCACTCCATGATGTACTGGTAACCACGGTAACCAGGGTACTGGTAGCACACAAAGCTGGCGACACAACACAATACGAAGAGGTCACGTGACCCAAGGATGCACCCCTGCGCTTCGTTACACACCGGTAAGACCCAAAGTACTTTTTCTACCTGTGTACTCAAAGTCCAGAGGATGAGAACTTTTCCCCCCTTAAGTGCAAAATGTCTACTTTCCCACTTTTGTACTCATGTACAGATTAAGAGTACTTTTCCTACCCCATGCATGAAGTAGAATGTGAGTACAGTATTTCACCTGTGCACTTACAGTAAGTAAAAAAAACCGACACGGCCCCATTTCCCGCCTCTCTCCTTCCTTCTCAGCATGTTGGTTTATGGTCTATTTCCATCAATTTCATTTCCCCCGGTCGGCCAGCAAAGACACACGCGTACACGTTCTTCTGCTGCCGTCGCCGTGGCAACCGCAGTTGCCTGGCAACACACAACTCTCCATCATCCATTCCACAAGTCTGACAGATGGGGAGAGAGGACGCCAAGGCAGACTGAGAACAAGAACAACAAGAACCAGAGGATTTTTTTTTTTTTTTGAGGAGTGGGCAGTTTAGAAAGAGGGTTCATCGACGAAGTGAACGAAAAGATGCGCTGCTGCAACATTACCAAGGCAAGAAAATTCAGCTAACACGACGACGAACACAATCAGGAAGAAAAAAAAAGAAGAAAAAGAAAAAGAAAAGAGAAATGTTGCCTTACGAAAGTCCACTTAGCTTCATGCTAACAAACAATGCAAAACAGGTCAACGAATAGCAGTGTCAGTCGCTGCGTTACAAGGCTTCAAATGGCACACATTTCGACACAAATGGTGCGGACAGAAAATATAACAATACTCTCAGGCGTATATTCTTTATCCTCTGCGAAAAACAGCTGATTATTATTATTATTACTGCAGCTTACTGAGAAGGTGTGACCACCTCCCTCATGTGTAGCCATAGCCTGATGTCTGTACTATACTGCCCCCGCTTGGAACCGGAAGCCGTTTCTCCTTTCTTTCGTCTTTCGCTCTGCGTGCAATCATACCTGACAACGAAACACCCTTGACACAGTCCAGCCGACCGTCAAAAGGCTTTTCTTCCCTGTCGCAACAACGAGGCGCTCTACAGCAACGGCGCAAGCGTAAAGCTCTGGTTCACACGCTGGATGTTATCTTGGGCTTTTGTTTTCCTTCCCTTGCTATGCTGCCATCTGTCCGTGATGTGTGCGCAATCACGGTCGACATCAGGGAGCACTGAAGTGGCCACAAAGGTCATGCCCACATGGTGACCTTTTACCCCCTACACCATCGTCACTTATCTTAGTCGTTCTCTGTGTGCCGCTGCTGACAAGACACCAGTGGACTATCCAAAGGGAAGATGCATTTGTGGCATGTAGGCAAAGTAGCTAGCTAGCTAACGCCCATTGTTATATAACAGGGAAGGGCCGACTTGTGCTCTAGCAGAAGTACGTCACGAGGTGTTTTTTTTTTAAATTAAGAAAATAACTGAAAAAAGCCGCTGTCCTGTGAAAAACGAATGTCCATTTTTATCATTTAGTTTATTTTTTTATTTTTTGTGAATGGCTCCCCGTGTTTCGGACATGTTTTTCACAGGACAGCGACAATATAAGAGTTGATCTACTGTATCCAAAGCTTCCCGTTCTCTATCTCTGCAATTACATTCAAACATGAAAAATGTATTTCTCAACAGATTCTTTCTACATCTCCACCATACTTAAATCTTTTGCGAATGTCCGTCGGATGGACTGGAGAGAAGTTCCCCTGAACGTTTTTCGAGCCGCTAACGCGCGCCTTTTTTGTCGACATCCTGGTCATGTGCACAACCGCGGCCTGCAAAAAGTCAACTTCCTGTTTGCCGTTCACGAGTGCTATGTGAACGTCGGGCGAGGGGGGCTTCAACAGGAAGCCGTCAGGCACCAGATCTCGAATATTAGGTGGCTAGCTTGCAGTTCGACAGGAAGTCGACCCGAGTAGATGCTTCAATACGACAAGCAGTCAGCAGACGCAGTAATCAAACAGTAAGTGGGGCAGACTGGCACGTGTGCAAAGACGGCATCCAGTCGGAGTGCATTATCTACACACACACACACACACACACACACACACACACACACATATCATTACAGTAGCTTACAATAATATGAAATACCTTTTTTTTTTTTTTTAAAGGAACATTAAGGCGCTGCTGCGCTACTGTATTTTAATTTTGGTCATGATGATCAGAGCCGCAGTACATTTGAAAGGGCTTCCTAGTGTCAAACGTTTGAGAAGTACTAAGACTTCAAACAGAGTCAGCTTCAACTTCCTGTTGTTACACTCATTACAGAAGCGGAAAAGAGTACACGCCTGCACACGCAGGCAATGAGAATCAAGGCCGTCTATTCCCGGAGGTTGGGGGGAGGGTGGGGGGGGGGCAATATGGAGGTTTGGAGGGCTACGAGAGAGTGAAGAACAAGAGTAAGTAACGCTTATGCCGCCCACCCGAGGGCCAGCTGTGGTCCCATGGCACGCTTCCTGTGGCGGGAGGAAGCGCGTGGGGAGCCTCATCTTCCTCCAGGCTAACATTAGCATCCGGCCAGCGAGCGGACCGGCTCACGAAAGCCCTGCCTGGCATCCGCCGGCGCTTCATCGAGTTTTCTCATCGCTTGATCCATCACCCCAAGATGTTGATTTCTGGCACTTGCTATCAGTCAAAAGGTCAAAACGCTCTCCAAAGTCATATCGTTCCCTGACGAATGTTTTGAGGTGGTTTGAGGCAGCGGTGTCAAACAGATTTTGGTCGCGGGCCACATTGTAGGTATGGTTTCCGTCAGGGGGCGGTTATGACTTTGAACCCATATGCAGTAAATGTGTTCATGCCTGATGTTATCATTTTTACACAACAAATTGATGGATCACAAATTATGATATTGTTTGTGGCCAGCTGCTCTCGTCAGCCCCGTTCCTTGCGTCGACCAATCAGCTTCCTGCAGCCTTGTCTTTCTTTGGTCGTTGCCGTCCTACGTGACGTACGTCGCTTTTGTCGGGTTATCGTTCCTCAAGTGTGCAATGTTTTTTGTTGATTTTTTTTTTTTTGGAGCGGATTGGTGAATTTAGTACAGTCAAACCTCGGTTTTCAAACGTCTCTGTCCTCGACCAAAAATTTTGAGTTTTTTATGCCTTGGATGACGACCGAATTTCGGTTCTCGAACAAACTGAGCGCACTTGAATGCATCATTTGACTCCTCTCGCCTTCCTTACATGAGGAAGTGACGCTTCCTCGGGTAGCGTTCTATTGTGAACAGACGTGTTCAATAAAGATTTTTAAATCGGTTTTCGAACAAATCGGTTTTCGAACAGCCTTCTGGAACGGATTATGGTCGAAAACCGAGGTATGACTGTATTTTGATTCTTCCGTGTGCCACGTTTGTCTTTTAGATTTTTTTGGAGTGGCCCACGTTTAGCTCAAGTTCCACCAAGCAAACGCACTTCTCAGACAGCTGCAACGCGCCAGAGGGGCCTGTGATGTCAAGTGCCAGTTTTGCGGCCAACATTTTGCATCGACGCAACAGCAGGTGGCGCAATACTCGGGGGGGGGGGGGTATCCTCAACCCTAACTTGCCGGTGTACTCACCAATCTTTTGGTTGAAGATCTTGTCGAAGGTGAGCTCGTCGCGCTCCTCCAGATATTTCTGCATCACGCTGCGTATGCTGAGGACAAACGGCAGGAAGCGTATTAGTCATCGGTGCCTTGTTGCCACCCAGGAGAGATACACACCACCCCGGAGGAACAGGTGTTAATGAGGCAGCGGGAGGAATCAATTAGCACGTTAGCGCCACGCGGGACGCCGCCATGCGCTCTTGGCCAGCGCATCCGGACTTCACCTTTGACGAGCGAGCGACTGTCCGTGGCACCCGGGCAGATACTCTCCCACCTCGATTGATATATACGTCCAATGACAACACTTTTTTTTTTTTTTTAAACACAATGGCCGCCAAATGGTGGTCGGGATGCTTTTGCTCCGTTGGCCTCTTTCCTGCGCGTCCTCCCGCAACACATTTGTAAAACACATGACCGACTTTGAGTTGCTTTCGTGTTTTATGGTGTTTGCTCTGACTGCTATGAAGTGTTGTAACCGTCGTAGTTTTTATAGGTCTCATTTTTAGTTTGTGTACAGCACTTTGTATGCCGCCGTTGCCGTTTTTTTTAAAGTGCTCTATAAATAAAGTTATTGCGTTCAATGAAATTGGACGTATGAAAAGTATTTGTGGTATCGCGATACGGTTTTGGTGAGCACTTAAAAGAGTGAAGAAACGCCAGTAATTGTTTTATGATGGTCAAAGTTCAACTTATGATGGACAAAGTTCAACCCTGGAGCAAATACTTGATCAGTTCCCAAGGCGAATGCTAAATGCTGCAAATGTTGTGCACAGACTTCCGAAAAAAAAAAAAATCAATAAAAATAACAACAAATCAATAAAATATGGCCCATCCTAACCAGCTCGTACACAATTTGATGAACTGACGAAGTATTTTCTGGTTGTGTACCCCGACCCGCCCACAGACTTCCTCTTTACCACTCCCTGATTGTCGCCACGGCAACAGTCCGGCCAGGCAGTGCCCTTTGATTGACAGGCTGCCGAGCGGTCACGTGATGGGACGCGGCAGGCGAGCGGAAACTGAATAAACTGCCGCCTTTCTTCCTCTTTGTGTTTGTGCCAAGTCATGGCGTCTGCTCATCAACTCCCAACAGCTTTCCCCCCCGCCCCCCTTGGTCATTTCAGGAAGTTCTCATGTCTTGTTGTTCATGTACAATAAAATGGTGGCTTCCCCTAAAGATGTTGAACGTAGGCAAACAGGGAGCGGGCTTGACTCGTGCTCGTCATAATAACAGCGAGAAGTGCTGAGCGCTAACAGCCCAAAGCCACCGAGTGCCGAGTTACCAGTCGCTGTGTAAACGCGGCGCGTCTTTCAATATTGACACGTTAAACACATTAAGCTTCCACGCTAACGCTTACGTCAAGGCAGCAAGTCACACGGACTACTTTGCAATCACAAGAAATATTCCCAAAGGGGCATCTTGAACTTCTTGGTGGCGTTTGGCATCAACGGCCGCCAGCGTCGGAAAGGAAATCTCCTTTTCTGAGCATGATTGCAGTCAAAAGGCTTCAGTATTTTTCCAATTTTATCGATTAAGCGATTTTATTTCTTTACGCGTTTCAATTTCCATCCCTTCACGGAGGACTAGAAAATTGGAGAATATTTACCGCCGAGAGGCTGAAATTCCAATGATTCGGATAATATGAAATAAAAAAAACGTCTCTGAACGATGACTCCGTTCATTAAAATAGCCGTCAGTGAATGTGATCATCAAATAGCTGCTGAGGAATGTGATGATGTGCGATTTTAGATTAAATTAATCGGTGATTGATTTGATCACAGGTTAGCTGTTATCGCTTCATTGGTGCTTTCGTGGAAATCGCTGAGAGGAGATAACACATTTGGTGGATTTTCGGATAGTTTGAGTTTCGGATACGCAGC